CCACATTACTAGCTACGTGTCAGGTTGACCTCCACTTGGTTCCCACTGGATCTATTTCCAAATAAAATATATTGATTTCATTTCTTTCAACCCTTTTTTCGCATTTATAAGTCTATTTCCGTTCTTAGAGTCTAGACTATCTTTGTACCAAATTTCATTCAAATAGTTTAGCCGTGAAAGTGTAACAGACACAATTACTTTAGGATGTAATAACATTAGTAAGTATATATGGATATATGCAGATACTAGCTGTCCCGGCAAACGTTGTTTTGCCATAAATTAAAAAAAATATTAGGGGTGGACTACCCCTAACATTTAGGGAGATGAAAAATAGATCTTGGCCGATTCTCAGACCTACTCGATACGCTCACAAAATTTCATGAGAATCGGTGAAGCCGTTTCGGAGGAGTATGGGAACGAAAACAGTGACACGAGAATTTTATATATAAGATAATACCTACATTCAAAAGGAAAAATGTGATTTCAACAGCATGTGAATTTCTGTGAAAATTCCTAAGAAAAGTAAGTAGATGGCTAATGATACACAAGAAACATCTGTGTAAATTTCCAAGTTTACAAACCTTGTGGGACTGTAGCAATTAGTAAACTCGTCAACATTCTATACAGAACCATTACTAGCTAATGGCGCTGAATAAGAGTGTAAATAGTATACCTAATAGCTGCCTTTATAAGATTAACATTTAACAATTTTTTTTAACTCTTTAGCGCGATACGCCTATTTTCACATTAATTTAAAATTTTATTTTTAATTCTCAGATTTTCCAAATACACTTTTAAGATTTATAAATAATCAATAACTTTATAATTATGTTTTTGCTCTATGGTCAGATGTCAGCCATTTTGCAATGATTATTAATTATGTAATAAAAAAAAGGCGCTGAAGCAAACACGATTGAAAAACGCGCGAATACGCGTGCTCGGTCTTTCTCGTTCTCTACATTTACATGCATTTACATTCTTTCCTGCCTGAAAGATTATTCGCGCGTGAAAGAGCGTACGAGTAAAGGGAAGCTATTTTTTTTATTATTTACTTTTTTGTTTGGGCTATTGTCAGGCGCTAAGACCTGTATAGATCTATTGTGCTCGCCCTTATTCAAACTTCGCTGCCTAGACCCGTGGAGGACAAGAATTGAAGGATATTCTCAGGAGCGATGGTTTTTATCTCCTCAGGATAGAGTGTATACATTCCAAAGGAGATATTTCGTTTATGCATGGCCTACAATCAAATAAAATGTGTAGTGCTGTTTCCTTCGTCAGGTTGACCTCCCTGGAAATCATTATAATAAATTCCTGGTGAATTTGTCACGATAGAATAACTGACCTTACCTCATGTTCATTTCATCATTCTCCAGTGGTGCCCAGTCAACGTACACTGTTTCATTAGAAAAAAGTATATACTCAGAGCGATGATTGTTTAATCATACGAATATAAATGTTTGTACCCTGCCAGGAATCGATCTTGCCAACATTGGAATGAAAGCAGTGTTCTAAACCGCTAGCCCACCGAGGCCGTTATCTGAATTAATTGAAAACAACATAATTATTACTGTTAGGAAACGTTTATTTTTACGCCTTAAAAATAACTTACACATTTTAAAGAACACAAAATATGTCAATATCAGTCAGCACGTACAATACAATACAATACAATAGTATCATCTAAGTTAATAGTTTAGTTTTCTTAACAACGTTCACGAAACACAAAAATATCATAAACATTTATAATTTAGATAAGTAACTTACGAACTGTAGCTTTATAATATAACTTACGAGTTTACAATATTCGTTACTAGATGGCGTTAGAATACTCTAAGAAGCATTGCTGTTGCGACTGGCCGCCACAAACTCTTGATATTTTTATTATTTTTAAATTCATATTTTTGAAGAGTCTTTTTTATATGTCATGTTATTTGATGTTACTTCACTTTATTTTATTATTCTCTTATTGTCTTTTGATAGTTCGGAAGTGCACATTAATATATTATATTATTACAAACTACGTGTTTTCATCATTTAGAAACCCATACAGTCCAGTTTATAAGTTTATGTAATCATATTTGTACGTTAACATATTGAGTAGATATTGAATTTAAACAATATTAGTACAACTTCATATTAGAGATATGTTCACATAAAAATTCTTCTTGTATATAAAAGTTTGTTAATATCACTCAAAAATTAGCCAAACTCGAGAACGGCTGAATCGGTTTTACTAATTTTAGTTTTGAAATATTTGTAGAATCTCAATATGAAGAAATTGCATGGAAAATAATACAATAAGTTCTATTTATTACGTAACTAAACATAAAAAGATCTTTGATATATTTAATTATGACGCGGAATGGAGTTTGCGGGCTCAGCTGCATATATGTACAAAAAACTCAATTCTGCACATTCCTAAGTATTGTGTGTTGATAAATACATGCGATACTAAATGAACATTAAAACAGTTCTTTCGTTTTAATAATAATTTCCTATAATTGTTTTCTATTTGTTTTAGGCTTCGCAAATGACCTAAAAGCAATGTCAATATTTGAAATTTATGTGTAATTACTATCTACCGTATTTACGAATGGAGTATTTAGTGATTATGTACTATGTATTGCTGTATAATCAAACTATTTAAAGCACCATGTTTGAAATTAATGTATTAAAAACTTGAATTCTTTAATATCCTTTAGCTTTTTATGTATGTAGTATATAAATACAACATATTTATTTAAATATATAAGTATCATAATAATATTTTGCTAAAAATTAAGTCTTTTTAAAACGACGGTTTTAATCGTACATTGTATATTATATGATTTAACATATGATGATTAATGTATGAATATCAATATATATTGCTTCATAACTATTTGAATATTCATGAATGATTTACGTATAAAAAAGCACCTGCAAAAATATTTTTAGTAGGTACATTTTAAATTAAAAAAATTGTGTATGTACGTAAATATGGCACTATGCACCAAAGTGGGTGACTACATACGTTTTGTGACTAAATTTTACAAATAGTTTTAGTAGTCATGTTCGCGTTTCGTACAAAATAATTTACTATCTATAATTTAAGGCATAAAGTCTAAAGCATCTACGATTGATCCAATAAGGCGACTGATAGGCTTATCCGATCTGTCGAGATCATACGTTACATCTACCTACTTATCTGCCCGATTTACTTCTTTACTAAACTTGTAGGACGACAGATCGGCCCAACTGATCGGATGACAAATCGACGGATAGATGCTTTGCATTATCTAATCCTAGCAACCCGTAGGGCATGTAATACTAAACACAAGTAAAATTAAATTAATTACTTTAGCGTAGTACATTATATTAAAAAGTAGTATGGATTACATTAACATATTGTTTTGAATTAAGTAAGAATAATTTTAAAACTTGTTCAAAATATGATAAGTATATTTATTGGAGTTCAATCATTAATTAGAGCCCGCCTCAATTTAAAACATACTATCACGTGATCTGCGCAGTAGATAACTTAGTACGTCAAATTGCTAATGCGCAGGTCACGTGGTACTAAAATGGCGAACAAATTGGGCGGTTATATTTGGTCGCTGTATATACCATAAAATCTAATATATACTACTAAAAATAAGTCAGTAGCTATTACAAAATATACTAATTACCGAATGTACAAGCTAGTTACAACTAAAAATGCAATACCAATTTGTATTTAAGTGTAATTGTTATTGGATTTGACATTTTGCAAAACAAATGTGTCACAAAGGTCTCCAAAATGGAGATACATAGTCTCATTAGGGTATACCTTAAAAATGAGTGTATTGCTTTCTCACTGATTGATAACAATAATAATACTTGTTCAAAATAAAGCTGTATTCACACTGCAAATTTTCCCCATAAAAGTGCTAGAATAGAAGTAAATATCCATGGACAACTCACATACCGTTAACTAGTCAAAAATTAAGAATCGGCAGTCTACTCTTGACTAAATGAGATCTAATAAGATTAGATTATGCAGTTTTGCACCTCTTTTACTCTTCAATTGTATGGTAGCAACTTACTATAGCAATATTAATTGCATCTTTAGTGGTTATTGAAAAAACTAACTGCCATTGTTATCAATTTATTAGGTTTAGTCGTGAATACATTTTATTATTGAAATCGATGTTCTGTTCTGATATATGTCTACTATCTGTTATAATAGAAAATATCCAGATGAAAACAGACATTCGTGAATCCAAATTTAGCATCATCACCATAAAATATGTACCTTTTTAATAGTTATTTGTAATTAATTATTTCTATTTTATATTTTGCCGCTCGCTCTCTACAAATTCACTGTATGATACATTTCTGCACAGAGTATGCGTTGCATATTTCCGCACAGAGCAGAAATATGTGTAGGGAAAATTTGCAGTGGATATAGAGTTTTATGTTTAATTAAAAATATTTGAGATAATAATTGCACTACAAGCGAGTATGCACGCTGCTCAAACGATACATGCAACACATGTCAGTCTCATCGAAGCACCTTCTAATGCCAATATACCTTTCAACACTCATCCTAGTTTAAATTAATACAATCATATAATTCTAAAACGCAGTCTTTTCTTTGTTCAACCATATTTCTATGTATTTTATTTGGATAATTTAATATACCAATACTTACTCTCTGCTTCACGCCGGTTCTAGTTAGAATTGTAGGAATTTTTAAAATAAAAATACAGCCCATGTACTCTAATAAATAGAATAGCTGTTTATATACGAATTTTTAAAATCATTTTAGTATTCGCTGAGTTTATTTAACTTAAAAAAATAAGAATAATTGTAAAATATAAAGAATAATTCTAGGTTGTATATTTTGTTCATCTATGTTGTTCTATCATTTTATTTTATAATACTAAACATTTAAAGTATCTGCGAGAAAAATAATTCTACATTTGTGTCAAATATTTTTATCTAAATATGTTTCTTTTCGAGCAAACAGATATAAAAAAAATTATTTGGAATTTTGTTCCGAACGCGTACGAGTCGATTATACACGGTTTGGCAGACAAAAAAATATTAATTTCTTTAATAATGCATATTTTTTCCTATACGCAAAAAAAAGATCATCATACTTAAATGTCGTTGTTATTTAAAAATCACATTTAAACAACTACGTTATATAGTTTAAAAGTGTCACTGCGAAATCGTAGTTTCAACAAATACCAAGAGTTCCATCGACTATTCTAGTTTACTGCCTACTTTATCAGACTTGCTCTTTTACTTCCCAATCCTTGAACGTTTTTGAACAGCGTACAATTATGGATACATTATAGCAATGTATGCTTATTGACTAATATCTTTCTTCTTGTGAAGAGTAGGGGTAACAGCCGTCTCTTTTTCTTTGCACCCAACTGCATCAACAAGTTCCTCGCTTCCACGATAGCATCAGTTCCATCTTCAACACCAGAAATAAACCCGCTTTCTGGTCTGGAGAGAGATGGCGCGGCCGGGAGCAGTGAGAACCAACGGTCGATCTTAGCGCTTGAAGACAACTGCAATAAACAAAATATCATATAGTATTTTTTTATGGAAGATTATAGAACGATGCATCCATTGGCGCTACTGATATTACCTCATCCACCACTGGTGCTAGCAGAGCACCAGTAGAGGATGAGGTAAGGAAAGTCAGTTACCCATCGTGACAAATTCACCAGAAATTAATCACGTTAGATTCGAGGATCGCGTGGAATTCAACCTGACTTGGTATATTGATAGTGAGGCAGTAATTAGTTCACGTTACCAACAATCCCTTCCCCCTTATAGTAATATTAATAACTTTATACAATTATCATATTATAAATCTGTAGAGATTACAGGATAAGAAGCATTACATCACTGTCCTCTGGAAAGGCAACATACAAGTATCACGGACGTCACATGATAACGTAGTGTCCTTAATGCTATTCATATATACATTCGGTTCTTACCACTGAAAATTCCTATTTGCATTAGAAATATATAAAAAAATTACAAAAATTCGTCCAGTTTTTATTAACAAAGAGCGTCTGCTCTTTGTTAATGCTATAAGTATATGGATACTAGACAATTTATACAAATACTTAAGTACATTATTTGTTATATAAGTATATTGTGTATATATATACATAAACACCGCCTAGAAAGAACAATCATTTTCGTCAATACAAATGTTAGTATTATACGAGGAATCGAACCCGCGACTATCATAAATAAAGCAGTGTGCTAAACCGCTAGACCGAGGCTAGGATGAGGCCGTCATGCTGTCATTTTACCCACTATGGCAAGCTACATATCGTCCGGTGAGGTTGTAAAGGGCAGCCGCTGACAAGCATTAGACTAGTCCGAAAAGAAAAAGAGCCCTGTCTGTGTCTCCTATAAAGGCCAAAAACTTACGAGTCTATACTCCATTTATATTTATTACACGTGGCAATACCTTCATCCATCATCATCAATCAATACATAATACGAAGTCTCAGCCGCGTCTTTTTAAAAGTGGAGTAATGAATGAAGCTTATTTCACAATTTTTTGCAATTTTATCACTAAGTAAATTAATTCTTGAAGAAGGATCGTATGTACAGATATATAAATGTACGTTGAAAAACAATTGATTTAACTGATTGTTCTTTTTGTAATGTCAAGGAAAGCGTATAATTATAAATATGATCATCATAATCATGATAGTAAGATATAAATATAAAGTCGTATAATGTTTTTTTTTCAAAGATCATTTTTTTGAGTTTTTCGTGGTCCTCTATTGAATCTGCGTTCCGAATATATCGGTAGAATAAAAAAATGTTAGAGAAAAATATCGCCCAGATAAACTACTATAATTTCGCTGGCCTTGGTGGTCTAGGAGTTTAGCACACCTCTTTACTTCCAATGTTCGTGGATATGATTCCTTGCACGGTGCAAACATTTGTATTCATGAATATGCTTCTTTGTATCGCTCTGGGTGTTTTCTATGTATATTATGTACCTACATATTTACGATACGACAACGTATTTAAGATAATGGATCTAAGTATTTATATCAGTGGTCTAGTATCCATAAAACATAGCTGCGCATTGTGTGAATCGTCCAGGGTTATTATTAATTTTTATAGAAATAAAAATTGACGTAAATATTCAAATAAACTTATTATAGTATTTGGTTTTCTCCAACTCATTCGGAATGCCGATTCAGACAAGAAAAATGAGCAATAAAGTTGTCTGTTAATATGTTAAAATATAGTTTTACTTTACATTTTTCTGTGCATAAAAATAAACAAAAAAGATCAAGACTGCGTTACTCGAGTAACAAAATATATCAGAGCGAACCACTCCCTACAATATAGTCACGGCTGCTCCGTTAAACTCATTAATTAATTTTTTATACTGGTCGGTTCTTAAGTTTAAAAATATATAACTGGCGGTCACATAAACTGTGCTGTACCGGGATAATTGGTATCAGTTACAAGCTAGTAAGTATCTCCCAAAGGCTAGACGCAATATAGATTTACTTAAGTGCAAACTACTGGAAACGATCTAGTATTACTATTTATATCCTAACGACTCCTATTTCAGATAGGATTGGCAGTGGGAAATACTATCTGTTGATGTGGTACTTAACAACTCGATATGCCTACATTTCGTTCAGAATATTAGAATTCACTTTGGTAGAATGTAGCCATCTTTTTTATTTTTAAACTTTCGCATTTAGTACATATTATTAATTTATCTTTAGCTGGATCTAAACTAGAATCATTTTATGATAAACTATATTTGCCCTCGGTTTTTATAGGCTATGTATTATTGTGATCAATAAGCTATACTATACTACTGTAAAGATCACCTGTTCAGTAGTTTTTGTGTGAGAGTAATAAACATCCATCCACCCATACTCACAAACTTTTGCGTTAATAATACTAATATTATATATACCTATATTATTACTAAAATATAAGGTCTCGTTTTGTCCAGGTTGCACTCGTACCTTCGTAGGTACGAGTGCAACCTGGACAAAACGAGACCTTATATTTTTGTTAGCCGCGGTCAGCTCGTGCTGACCGCGGCTAATGTAATAATGTTTTTACTATTATATCCTAATCGAAACATTTATATACCAATTAAGTTTATTCGCTGATTAACTATCTAAATATATATTCTATGGACACCACAAGCAGGAGAAAATCAAATTAATCCTATAGACATATATACATATATAGGCACTTGTATGCTGTTGCAAACCTTCTGAACCATTTTATATGTTTATTTTAAATGTTATTTCTTTTAAAATTGTCATATATTTTTATTGTCACTTTTTTCTAACCGTTTGTGCACGTATCTTCATTATAAGTATTCACCATTTTCTATCCATTGTTTCATTTACATCATACATAGAGTCCACTCATTCTATCGCCCACATATGCATTAGATAAATCTACATCCCTTCATGAATCTATTTCTAGTACGTGATATTCGATATTGTGTAGTATCGAAGCAAGGCCCCAAGGGTAGCTGCGAGGAGCATGACTTCCATGAATAGCTTTGAGTCCTGTTTGTATACATCAATATAAAATACAATGTCAAAGAAAAAAATTATCTGTATGACATCTTCACGGAGAAATAATTATATTCGAGAATATTTATTTATTTGAGCGATCTACGATCCACTATGGTTATTATCACTTTAAGAAGTTCAAGTATATAGTGTTGACTTAATAACTGGTAGCCACGGCATGCGTAAATGTTTTCAAAAGTTTTTTGTTTTTTATATTAAAAAAAAATTCAAAAATCAAAATATCTTTATTCATGTAGGTCTATTACAGACTCTTATGATATGTCAAATCTACCGTCAGTTCGGAATGATTTGAAAATCAAATTACTAGAGGTAAGTCCTAGCAGTTGGAAACAGCGAAAGATAATACACGTATTAGCAACAATATATTATTGGATCTCACGATTTTAAAAGTTATTACAGTTTGCAGTTTATTTTTATTACTAACTAGCTGTACACGCAATTTCGTCCACATGGAATTTAAGTTTATTTTTCTAAAATAAAAGTAGCCTAAGTTAGTCCTTATTATATCAGCTACCTGCCAATTGAAGTCCCATCAAAATATGTCCAGCCATTTCAGAGATTAGCCGTAACAAACAGACAGACAAAAATTGTAAAAAAAATTATTTTGGTGTACATATGTACCGTATTTATATTCATATACATCTAGTAAAAAACGGTTATTTCAGTATTACAAACAGACACTCCAGTTTTATTTATATGTATAGATTTATACATTATTTAGGATATTTAAGCGTATCTTCTCAGTCTCTCACTACTCCATTTAATAGAACAGACGTGACGACATTTTTTATACATAATTATGTATTCCTTAGCGTTACATAATAAATACATTTTACGTGGCTTCCTTCCCAGTCTCTTATTTAATACTCCATTTTAAAGAACAATCGTGTTGCTATTTTTTTATACATATCTATTACTTAGTGTTAAGATAAAAATACAGACGTGGCTTCTTTTGAAAATAAATAAAGTGTATTTCTCGGAGTTCTCTGTGATTCGTGACGGATTATTTCATCTTATTTCAGTTCTCACTAATGACCAAACACGAACATAAAGAGAAACAGAGACAATTCTTAATTGCCTGCCGGGCGATTTTTTGGGAGGCACAAATTAAGAAATGTTAAACCGGAATTCGTGCTTTCAACTTTATTTTATTTCACCGTGTTCCACGGAGTCTTTCGGTGACTTTTATGTTTGTTGTCTAAATATCAAGTGATATTTTCAAGGAAGAAAATTTGTAACAATTTTATTGTTGATGCCATAACAAATATATAAAACATTTTATTATTTATATTACACATATGAATGGTTGCATGTAAACGCTCCAAGGAATAAATTCATTCATTCTTTAAATAATTTTGTTGTATCGGTTGATTTTTGAAAATTACATCGTATAAATGGAAAATTAGACGATAAATGATTTTTGTTTTCATTTACGTGTCTCTCTCTGGTATGTTTCGATTTCATAAGTAATGCCCTGAAGCCTCACAAACTATTGGTTTACAGTCCTGACCCAAAAAGCTATGTGAGTCAATTTACATTTCTGTCGGACTGTCCACGTATGGAAACGAAGATAGGAAATCAAACTAATCCGAGAGACGTTAGCCTACTGTCCTGCCATGTTGGATTCAAATAGAATTATATTGAACTATATGTCAACATGTCAATTTTGTGCATATGGGTGTAGGTAGACACATAGAATAGTTCACCTTAATATAGATATAGTATCTAAACGAATTAATATTTAGCTAATTTATTCAGTATCATTATGGTAACCATTTACCATCAGATGGGCCGTATGCTTGATTGCCTCCATCGTAGTATAATGAGTGATAGATAAAAAAGTATGCTAAATCATCTTTAATTTCAATTTATTTGAATCAATAATTTTATATTTTATTCTATTATACCTATAGACGGTATGAATGAAGAACAATTTTATTTAGGTAACAATT